CTGATACTCGTTTTGGTCATCAATTGTTAGGATATGGTGCCTTGTTGTCCATTTACTTGGGTGTCACGAGTGCACTTGGCTTCTTAATGATTGTTGGTGTTCCCTTTATCAGCATGGTTGGTGTTCTACCGTTCTTGGTTGTAAGTATCGGCATAGACGATGTTTTTATTATTCTACACGAACTTAATGAAATGATCCGTCAAGATTTGCCTGCGATGCATATGTTAAGTGGGACAATGGCTAGAAGTGGTCCAACTATTACCATGACAACCCTTACTGATCTTGTAGCATTTGCCGTTAGCAGTAGTTCCATCTTCCCTTCGATTCGGCTTTTCTGCACTTACACAGCTGTTGCAATTTCATCTGTTTTCATTCTGTTGCTGACATTTTTTGTTGGTTGCATGTGGTTCGATATTAAAAGAATCAACGCTCGACGCAGAGATTTCTTGCCTTGCCTAATGAGTCCTCCTCCAACTGATTGTTGCTTTGGAATTCGGAGAAGTGGCTTTGACAACGTTATGAAAGCATGGGGAAAACTAATTACTTCCTGTTGGAAAAGTTCTTTGTGTTCTCAGGTTCACTACTTCTCCTAGCTTTGGAATTTATGGCGCTTTGGCCTCGATGAAAGTTTTAACAGGAAGTGGTTAACAACGAAAGATTCACATTTCCGAAAATTCCTAAATGTTTATGAAGAAAACTTTAACCTTAATATCGAAGTTAGCATAATTTTCCCAGAAAAACTGATCACTCGAGTATTGAAATTCAGAAAATATACTCCCAAGTTGAAACTCTAGTTGAAAGTAACGAATATTTTTCTCCAAGAAGATATCGTGGTATCCCAATATACGTCGTGGGCACGGAATAGAAACATCAAAATCGATGATACGAGAATATTCCATCACTACTTGAAGGAGTTTATTTCACTCCCGGAGTATCAAAGGTTTGCCCAGGATCTAAAATTTTCGAAAGATAAACTCATTTGACGGCTTCACGGATACTAGTATATTGTAAAAGTGATCCTGACTCAAATTTCAAAGAAATATGATGGCGAGCATTCGAAAGGATCTCCGTCCACGGATGCTCGTGCATTTGCTATTGCCTTGCCTTTTATATACTTTGAACAGTATGCTCATGTACTTAATGAAACCATCAGAACTTGGTTGTTGCTGGAATTTCAATTATTTTGATATCGTGGTTGTTTATTAATCACTTTGTGTAATATTTTGTCTTATATGGGGATTCGGTGCTCTTATATTTGAACTATTTGGTCTGATGTACATCTGGAATGTCTCTTTGAACTCAATCTCTATGATCAACCTTGTTATGGCTTTGGGATTTTCTGTAGATTACAACGCACATGTCGCTTTCCACTTTGTTTCTCCAGGGCAACAACTCCCGAACTCCGTGTCATCGATGCTCTAAGCAAGGTAGGCGGCAGTGTTTTTAGGTGGGCTTAGCACATTCCTTGGAATGATGCCAACGGGATTTACCTCCTCCATGGTATTTCAGACATTTTTCAAAATGTTTGTTGGTATCGTTTTTCTTGGTTTACTTCATGGTTTGGTGATACTACCTGTGTACCTGTCTCTACTTGGAAAGCTCTTTAATCTTCGTGAAAGTAACCTTGACTTGTCAATCATGAAGTGGTTCAACATTACGAAAAGATACAAATCTAGTAGAAATACAAGCCGAGTTTATCTGAATTAGACGCAAAAACCAAACAGTCCAATCCAATTGCCATTGTCGGAATGAGTTGTCGTTTTCCAGGTGTGCAAACTCGAAAGATGCATTTTGGGATATGTTGGTGGAAGGGCGATGTAGTATTGGCTCTTATCCAATGAACAGGCCAGACGCAAGGGAGTTCACAGATTCGTTTAACCCAGGGAAGCACACACCAGGGAAGCATTACGTCCTTACCGGCGCATTTCTTGAAAATATTACAGGATTTGATGCTCAATTTTTTGGAATATCTCCAAGCGAAAGCCGTTCAATGGATCCCCAACAGCGAATACTTCTTCAAGTTGTCTTTGAAGCGATTGAAGACGCTGGCATACCCCTTGAGGACTTACAACAATGTCGAACTGGCGTTTATGTTGGATCTATGTGCACGGAATATAGTGCACTGGTTTTTGATCATTCGAATATTAGAAAGATTGATCAGTTCTCGTCAACTGGCTGCTCTATGTCAGTTATAGCCAATCGCATTTCTTTTTCGCTAACCTAACTGGCCCTAGCATCGCTTTGGATACTGCTTGTTCCTCGTCTTTGGTTGCTTTGGACATTGCATTTCAACACTTACAAACTGGCGAGTGTGACGCAGCTATAGTTTGTGCCCCTAATATAATTCTCATTGGAAACCAATTTCACACGGCATGCTGCAGAACTGGGCTGTTAGCCGAAGATGGTCGTTGCAAATGTTTTGATATCAAAGGTGACGGCTATGGGCGAGGAGAAGGTGTAGCTGCATCTTAATAAAACCTACCCAAACAGCCTTAGATGATAGAGATAATATCTATGCAGAGGTCTTGGCTTGCGGAACAAATAATGATGGCCAAACAGCGATTCCAATGACAGCACCTAGTCAGGTAACACAAGCCGCTCTTTTTAAGAGTTCTTCAAGAGTCAGGTCTGACCAAGGACGATATAACATACGTGGAAGCACATGGCACCGGTACAGCCGTTGGAGATGTCGTCGAAATGGGATCACTATCAGCAGTCTATGGCAATAGTGGCAAAAGATTACTTCGTGTAGGATCAGTGAAATCAAACGTAAACCATACGGAGTCAACAGCAGGTTTAGCTGGACTAATCAAGACATGTCTGATGATAAAACATGCCAATTTGTTCCTACTATTAATGTTCAACAAGTTAAACCACAGCTCATGATGCCTGAAAGAAAAATGGTGGTTCAAGTTTCCAATGAAACTTGGAAAACCGAGGATGATAAGCCGAGAACCGCCGCGGTATCTTCGTATGGATTCGGCGGCGCAAATGCCCATGCAATCATTAGGGAAGTAACTACAAAGCCAACTATAATCCCAAGCAGAAATTCATCCAACAGAGTTCTAACATTGTCGGCAGCGTCGAAAGAAGCATTGAGAGCAATGGCTAAAAAGGTGTCCTTATCGCTAAAGATAAAGCCTGATGACGACGAACTTCTTAAAGATAATATTTGTTATTCCCTCAACGAAAGGTACACAATGCAACTTTATCGCTTGGCGGTTAGCTTTATTCATTTCAAGATGCAGCTAAGGCATTAGATATGTTCTCTGATCAGGAAAACGGATGGGAAGATTGGTGGCTACAGGGGCCGTCACTAAGCCGCGTCGTGAAGTCGTATTCCTCTATGGTGGTCAAGGTGCACAGTGGTATGGTATGGCAAGAGAAATGCTAGTTCATGAGTCAAAGTTCAAGGAAAGCATTGAAAAAATTGACGCACTCCTTAAACAATACCAAGCCCCCTGGTCCTTGATTTCTGAGCTCAAGAAACCCGCAGAAACGTCGCGAATTCATGAAAACCAATCGGACAGACGGCTCTGTTTGCCATACATTTTGCTTTAACCGAGCTACTAAAATCATGGGGTGTTTTACCGTCCGCGGTTATTGGTCATAGTCTTGGAGAAATATCTGCAGCCTGGGCATCTGGAGCATTAAATTTGAATAAAGCTTTGCAGTTGGTTTTGTTTCGCTCTCAACTTCACGAGAAATGTTCACCAACAGGATGTATGGCTGCCATTGGGATGACAGAAAAGGAAGCTCGACATATGCTGCAAGATCTTCAACTGACAAATGAGGTCGACGTTGCCGCCGTGAATAGCCCAGGTAATGTTGTGTTATCTGGTAGCAAAAGGTCAATGGAGCTGGTGGAAAACCATGTGTCCAGTGAAAGAAGCAATCTTTTTTGGAAGAAACTTACTACGACTCGAGCATACCATAGTAGAGAAATGGATGAAATAAAGCAAGCATTCCTTAATCTCACAAAGGATTTCAAAGTTTGTGAAACTTCAAGCAATGTGCCATTTTATTCAACTGTTACCGGCACTAAGTTGCCCGGTAATCTCTTATCACTTGACCATTGGTGGCGTAACATCCGACAAGCGGTTTTACTGGAGCCCGTATTAAAAAAGATGTTTTCGGATGGTCACCGGTTCTTTATTGAAATAAACGCAGTACCTCAGCTTTCATACCATGTTCGTCAGACTTGGTCTCACAATCATCCGTCAGATTCTCTACGTTCAAACGACGTCGTTGTGGTTCAAACTCTACCAAAACAATCAGTGAAAAGCCAGCACTTATCATTTCTTCAAAACTGCGTGGCTCGCCTCTTCGCAAATGGTGTTCCCTTATCTTGGAACAAAGTGCAAGGCTCGGGATCGAAAACATTTTTCCCCCGTCCAACATATCCTTGGCAAGAAACAAAGTATTGGTACCGCGAATCGCATCCACCAGAATGTGTTACATTTTACGATGAGCACAAGACTAATGAAGAAAATAAGAAAACCACCAAATTCCATCCCCTTCTTGGTAAAGTAGTCCCGACGGAAACGTTCAGTGGTTTGCTGGCTTGGGAATCTGAAATCAATTTGCACGATGTTTCGTATCTCCAGGATCATAAATTTTCTCAATCTTCAAACCCCTTGATACCTGCCGCTGTTTATATAGAGATTGTATTTGCTATGTCCTTGCACTTGTCTCCACGGGCAGCGCCTGATGTTCGAAACATCAGTTTCGATAGTCTACTGTCCATATCCGAGAATGACTCGCACAAGATAAGAACACGTCTTCTACCTGAAAAATCCCTTGGTGGAAATAAATCATTTCAGATCTCTGCAGTGGAAAGCGACGAGCGAGAATTAACTGTCTCTCAGGGTTCCATTCAGATTGGTATTGATGATGGATATAGATCGAAAGGTAAACCGAATACATTTCTAGCAAATATTTTGAACGGCGTACGCAAATGATAGTGATATAAGACTAGCTAAATTGTATAAATATAATGCCTATACCAAAGTTTAATGTACAGTGTTTCAAAAAAAAACTTTGCAATGCATTTTATTATTGAAAAATTTAGGATTTATTAGTGTCAAATAAGGAATGACGTCAAATAAGGAATTTCATTACGTCAAATAAGGAATTTTGTGCAACTTAATTCAACAAAAGAAAACTGATTTGCAATTCCCAATTTGACATGATGTCCGGTATATTTAAATGCTAATAAATCCATCAAAAGTTTTCCATAACAAAATGTGATTGGACAGTTTTTTAAAATACCTTAAACTTTTGATCTATTCAAACATCGCAACCATGGTATAGACACTTATGCAGTATGCATGCAGTGATATTAATCTTGCGTGATAGTGATCATAACCTCAAAGCGTGATAGTGATGTATAGGTAACTATTTAAAACACGAGAGGGAGCATTTTATAATATTTAAATCGCGATGCGAAGCCGGATGTTTTAATGTAATATATATTTAGTGAAAATCATTTAGTGAAATCATTCAGCGAAAGATTGACTGAAATGAAATCAATTTTATTATTATTAAATGTTATTTACAGACACTAGTCCCGTCAGTTACCACTGATTTCCACGGGGGCGTCTACTTAATTACACTATGAGCTATGACATATACAAATAGAATTATGAGCTATAATATATACAAATAAGTGTTGACACAATAAATATAGATCGGCCTGCTTCACTGAGTTTATGAGCCTCTTGAAATAGCGAATTGATTGAGCAGACTTAGCTTCATGCTAAAGACAGTTCCATAATACAGCTCCTATATATTT